GATTAACTTCAAACTTCACAACAAGGTTAATTACCATGAAACCTCGGACAAGTTCGATAACCGCCATTATCCGACCGTAATTATTGGAGTTATTCCCCTTGGTTTCATTAATGCGATGCATGTGTTCCATGATGTTGAATTGCACTCATTGATCTACCAGTTATGTTGAATGATTTCTCTTTCAATATCAATTACTCACAAATACTTCATATATTTCAATCATACAAACAACTGCTCATTCAATGTGTGACGGGCGTATTATATACCGCTTGCGGTAACCTTGTTCTACTTCCTTTCCACAGGGGCCTGTGCCTGTTGATTTGGGAATATATCACCCACAAAAATCATGATTTTGGGGAAAAACAGCAAAAATTAGCAGGGGGAAGGGGCCTTCATAAGGCCAAATCACTGACTAAGATCACTGACTAAGATCACTGTATTTGACTTATTTAAGCACCAATATTGCTAACTTTCTCTTTGCTGCTATGACAACTTTAAACATTTGTTCATCAATACATAAACATAAAAACCCACCTTAGTATTAAAATATCAGCTATATCATGCTGTGGATAAAAGTAGATGGCCAGAGGCTGATAAGGGAAAAACAAGTGAAGAGTTTGCAGTTATTATAGTTTGGTAAATTGGCTGACTCACGACAAGGTCGTTAACATTTAAAATCAATTAAGTTGAACATAGTAAAATAAAAGTAGTGAAAATTTATGCCTTTAATTTGTCTAACTTTAACTTCCTTGAACACCGTAATTTGTATGCTTATACAAAGATAGCACCTGTGACTGCTTCAATGGTAAGATTAGTGAGAAGTTCTCTTGTATGTAACTGTGTGTGAAACAGTATCTCTTGTAAAGCCACAAAGTTGCTGCACGATACCGCAGTGGCCAAGTGGTTAAGGCATCTGACATTCTGCTACCACTAGCCGTCCACCACTGGGTCGCGGGTTCGAGGCCCTTGTGGGGCAGTCGCCAGGTACTGGCCGTATGTCGGTGGTTTTTCAACTAGATACATTACAATGATGGGGTCAACTTAGCCGTGAAAATTAAAATCTATAGCATGTGTTAGCTCACCAACGCCAAAACAAAGCTTTGTTAGCATATTTTTTTCAGCAAAAGAGTCGTCAGTTTGCAATAGATGGCCTTCTACCTAGCTGACATGATATGACTCATCAGGAGCCTGAAACATGTACCCAAATGTTTGCAATTTGTAACTGTTTAGTATGACAATTATGTTGAATACAACAGTAGATAATATTAATGTTACCTGAATGATAATTAATAGCAAATTTTATAACAAAATCATACTATTTGGAGGCTTTTTTTCTGATATTGGAGTGCCTCTTCTTGTGAATTAAATATTTCCGTTGCTACAGAGGATGATTTCCTCAAATTAGGGTAGTAAGATCTAGAATGGTTAGTGTATTTGAATTACTTTTTTATGATTTTACATGCTCGTTGTTATTGTAAAGAGTAATTTTCAATGGATTAATAACTTCAAACTTCATAGGAAGGATAATTACCATGAAAGGTCAGACAAATCAGTGAGTGATATTACAATTATCTGACCATAATCATAATGAATAGACTTATTTCCCTTGGTTTCATTAATGCGATAGTACATGCATTCCATGTTTTATTGCACTCACTGATCTACCAGGTATACAAAATTATTTCTCCTTTAACATCAATTACTCACAAATATTTCATATATTTCAACAATACAATCAACTGCTCATTCACAGTGTGACGGGCATATTATGTACCGCTTCGCAGTAACCTTGTTTCTTATGAAATTGATGTTGAGAAATAAAACATCATTTACATTTTCCAGAGAATTGGCTATCTGGCTGCGGGACAGAGTTTCCATGAGGGCACAGATGTACTTATGTTGACTACAAACATGATCCGTAAGGTAGGTTGTTCAAAGTGGCACGAGATATATAAAAAGTCAGTTATGTTTTAACTATTATATAGAGGGATTTTCATGGCCCGAAGCATGGAATTTTGACAGGTCTGGTGGGTTTTTTAATCTGTGTTTTGAAAGCTCAATCATTTTGTGTGTTTTTTTGTCGGCTACATTTAGTGATGTTTTGACAGCTCTGTTTCGTGTGCTCCATCACATCAGTTTTCCAAAAAAAGTGACCATTTCACCCATGCATTACACCTGTTAAAACTGTCACATTTAAACAATGTTAATACATTTGTCATATTCTATTACATGACAGATACAGGTACAGGATACGAGAACTTGATGTAAATATTTAGTTACAATGGGATTGTATCTCACTGATAAGATAGCATGTTATCATACAGCCCTGTGTTGACATTACAGGATCTGATCAGCACCAACATGTATGATGCTGGAGTGGCACTCAACGGCCTGGCTTGCTTTGTATCTGCTGACCTGGCCCGTGACCTCGCCAACGACCTCATGACCTTGGTAAGTACACATGGACTGATGGTGTAATCTAAAGATTTCATACTTCCTTTAGTTTCCTGTATTTAATCCTTTACAAGTTATATAGATGTTAAGCTTTCACTTGGAATTCAAAAATGTTATCGCTCATTAAATTAAATTTCTGACTTAATAATATAGATTATATCATTTTGATTAAAAAATGCCACACACAGTTAAGTATCCCTAGCTACTGGAGAATTTATATTTATATCTTTTTCCCGAGTTTTGGATGATTAAAAAATGACAATTGATAATTGTAATTGGATTTTGGGAATTCCTAGGTTAAAAGTAGTTAGTCTGTAGTAATTGGAATTTGAGAAGACCTTGATTAAAGGCAGTTAGTCTGTAGTAAATGGAATTTGGGAAGGTCTTGATTAAAGGCAGTTAATCTGTAGTAATTGGATTTTGGGAAGGCCTTGATTAAAGGCAGTTAATCTGTAGTAATTGGATTTTGGGAAGGTCTTGATTAAAGGCAGTTAGTCTGTAGTAATTGGGATTTGGGAAGGCAGTGATTAAAGGCAGTTAGTCTGTAGTAATTGGAATTTTGGAAGGTCTAGATTAAATCATATTTGAATACTATATACATGTATGTCAATACTGATTCAACATCAGAAAGGAACAGAGAGTAAATGCTAACTGAAAACTGACATGCGAAGCTATACTTCATGTTCTGTTTCATGTCAGTAAATGGAATTACAATATTTTACTGCATGTCTTATTTCATTCACAAACTTCAGGGGGATTTGTTTTTGCGAGTTAGAACATTATCAAAATATGCGTTCAGGGAAATTGGGTACTTCAAACCTTCATATTTAGTCACATGTTAAATGTTTTCAGAAATTTAAACGTGACAAGTAAACCTCTGTGTCAATCATCCCTAGGCTCAATAAGAACTCTAATTAGAATTAAATGTCTGAGAGAGGAATGTTCTAGAGTGGGTTGACAGATACTTACTTTAAATGATAAAGCACTGAGTGTTCCGACTGATGAGTAAGTTTACCTGTCCGGCTGTAGATGACGTCCACCAAGCCGTACCTGAGGAAGAAGGCTGTACTGATCATGTACAAGGTGTTCCTACAGTTCCCTGAGGCCCTCAGACCAGCCTTTCCCCGACTCAAGGAAAAGCTGGAGGACTCCGACCCAGGTCAGTATCTCCAAGGAATACTACTTTCTCAATTTGATTACGGGTACTCAATGTTTTTCATTCAAATTTTGATGCAAGCAACTTTGTTGAGGTTGTGCAGGCGTAATTGCCCATGATAAATGTCACACATATACTTGACAATGATGACATTGTACGGGCGTGATTGGTGACAGTGAAAGCTACATACTTGACAATGATAGCATTGTACAGGCGTGATTGGCCACAGTGAAAGCTACATACTTAACAATGATAACATTGTACGGGCGTGATTGGTGACAGTGAAAGCTACATACTTGACAATGATAACATTGTACGGGCGTGATTGGCCACAGTGAAAGCTACATACTTGACAATAATGACATTGTACGGGCGTGATTGGTGACAGTGTTTGTTACAGGTGTACAGTCGGCGGCAGTGAATGTGATCTGTGAGCTGGCAAGAAAAAACCCAAAGAACTACTTGTCTCTGGCCCCACTCTTCTTCAAGCTGATGACTAGCTCCACCAACAACTGGGTCCTCATCAAAATCATCAAACTGGTAATGTCAACAAATCAACCTGTTAGGTCTGGAGGTCAAACGTAATATCAGCCTGTTTAGGCTAGAGGTCAAACTGGTAATGTCTTGGTGGGTCTGGGGTCACACCGAGAGATCAGGTCTATGTGTCAAATCGCAAGTTTTAGAAAATTTGTTTAAAGTCATAGGTAAATTGTTTGGTAGTATTTGATGTTTGAAATGAAGAAAAGATGTTATCATACTCCTACGGTTGTAGATAGATACCTGTAACCTAACTTTAACCCTTTCACCACAGTAGACCGTAAAGGACTCATCCAGATCAATGCATGGTAGAGTCTACTAAAGTTACATAGGGTTGAAAGGGTTAAAAGGCTGTTAAGACGTAGTCTGTAAATATACACTTCTAAATGAGTATTTTCCCTCAAAAATACTGTCTGTTGTCATTACTTACATATTATGTATTTCTGTTAGGTTGGCTTTTAGGTTACATCATCAGAGAATATCGCTTACTAATAAACCAAGCATTTACAACAACTGCTATCACATCCGGCTGTCTTTATGTAAAAACACAAGGATTTCGAACCATAACTCCGCACTGTGATTTTTGTCTCGCCGCCACAAAGTGGAAGCGTGACTAAGGTGTTGCTTTGACAGCTATGGCGTCAACATTAAGTTTTTGCGTTTTAGTTAGTTTCACTGAAAGTATATAAGTGCTAGACCAACCAAACTTGGACCATAGATGCATCTTAGGTAGTACATCTCAACCCATGTATCAAATGCTGGATGCAGCCTACCTGTCATGGTCCATTGACTTTGTCAGCATCTCGATCAACATTAAGTTTTTGTGTTTAAGTTAGTTTCTCTGATATGTGCTTTGATGGCCAAAGCGGGGCACAGGCGAGACATACCAATCTGAATGGCTTGTTGTTTTTAAAAAAACTGTTGTGTAATACTTCCATAAGAAAACCCCAAAATATTTTGCACCCTTTCTTAAAAGAATTCACTCCAAAAATGTGTCTGTTGCCATGAATGTCCTTTCAAGAGGAGTGATATAAATATTTGAAGATTTAAAAATCAAGTGACTTAAGTGAAACATTGACCAGACAATATTTCTGTGTAACCTATGGTTTACCACAGTAGAAAATGTGATCAGATATATGTATTACTGAAAATTGCAGTTTAGTGCACTGACCCCTCTGGAGCCTCGACTCGGAAAGAAACTTATAGAGCCCCTCACCAATCTAATTCACAGGTACAGTATGATTTTGTTATTGAAGGTCTTTTACATCAGACCATGGTTTACATATGTCTACACAACATTCACTGCATATCAGTAAATAAGGCTGATTACTAGGTAGTTATGACCAAATAGTCAATAGGCTCCCTAAAACACTAGCTGGATAGTGGGACAACCACAGTAAATGTGGCTACTACATGTAGTATTCTTTATTGGAACCCTGTAGTAATTTGTGGTTGTATACTGTATAGGAAGGTATATCATCTTTTATAGTGAATCCTTACATTAAAGGGACAATTTAGTGAAGTAAGTTTTTTTGATTATTTGAAAATCAAGTCGATACTGAAAACTTAACGAAAGTTTACGTAGTCGATAATGACATGACCTGAAGCAAACGTCCAGTGTGGTCAGTTTCATTTTGTGGGAAAGCCGGTGATAAAAAAAAGCTACGACCAAAATAGCGCAATTTCCGGGCATTTCTATGAACATGTACAGCACTACGCTGTCGACCGACAACAGTGTCAGTTATGAGTCTGAGTTCACACATAACACATTCTTGAATTTACACAATAAATCGCAAGTAAGGATTATAAGTTTCATAACATTAACCTCTTATCAGATATTTCTGTTCACCTTTGGATTAGGGCATGCACACACTGAGAGGGTGCTGCAGGGAGAATTTCAAATTGCAGAAAGTGTGATATCAATAGGTTTAAACGTAAAATAGATCACTCATTGGTAACGATGTTTTAGATGCTGTTGGAAGATGATTTTAATTCAAAATAGATGCATATACTTGTATTCAGAGAGGCTAGGCAAAAAAAGAGAGAAGTTACCTTCATTCCTCGGCTGGAAAGACATAATCGTTAGCGTGAATAAATTAATTTCAACAACAGCTGTGGCTAAATCGTACGGCTGTACAGTTAAGGATTTCTCCATTACTGATTAAAAACGCCAAGAAAACATTGTCTCTTGTCAATTTCTCGACATGAATTGTTCATAGGGAGTACGACACTATATAATCATGGTGAGTTTGTGACAAGGTTATAAAAAAAATTACATCACTAATTAAATGTCCCTTTAATGATAATAACAAAAAATATTACAAAATAGTGTATAGACATGTATACAAATTTCCCCAAAGGATACCTGGAATAATTTGTGGCTATATACATGTACTGTGATGCTAAAGATGAGATGTAGCGATTGTTGTTTTGTGTTTCAGCACGTCTGCCATGTCACTTCTGTACGAGTGCATCAACACTGTGATAGCGGGTATGTATGAGTGTCCCGGTCAGACTGACCGCTCACCTAGCGTAGTGCCTAATCTTTAACACCCGTTTACTCCAGCTGTGAATGCATTTATGTCTGATTGTTTTGTTTATTTTCTTTTTATTTACATAATGTCAAGGCCTCTTTGGTCACTAAACTTACAAAGCATGTATAATGATGACGTTGAAATGTGACGGGTTCATCAGCTCATCAATGTTCAGTATCCCAATGACACATCAGGTCCAGTTTTAGGATTGAGTATTTTGTAACTCATTGTGGAAATATTGGCAACAAGACAACAGAGAAATATATATGTTCTTAATGGAAACCAGGCTCCAGGAGTTTCCTCCCCTTTTTGTACTTTTATTGACCATGCAGAGATGGGAACTTTCTGAACCCTGAGGCATGTACATCTTTGTCTTTGTTTTGATAATTATAAAAATAGCAGCAACTCAGACTGCACCTAACGTGTCATTTATTGGATAAAACTTCATACATCTGTGTCCTGTATTGTCTTTATGATCCTCGCGGTTAACGACGAGACTAACAAGGTTCCCAGCGTTCCCTTACATTGAACAGCTGTCCACCTAGCGATGTTATGCTAGTGGCCTCTTGATTGTGTTATTCTATGTACACAGTATCCTTTAAATAAAAAAAAAATCATATTCATCTGAAGCCAGGCAAATAGACCTGTAACAAACCTGCACAAATAATGAAAACGAAAAAAAAAACCATCTTGTGTGCATGTCATACATCTTGTGTGTATGTCATACATCCTGTGTGCATGTCATACATATTGTGTGCATGTCATACATCTTGTGTGCATGTCATACATCTTGTGTGCATGTCATGCATCTTGTGTGCATGTCATACAGCTTGGGTACATGTCATACATCTTGTGTGTATGTCATACATCTTGTGTGCATGTCATACATCTTGTGTGTATGTCATACATCTTGGCTGATGTTTTCTGATTTGTTTGTTGATAGTATGCAACACGTTTGAAACTACTGAACAGTCATTGGAAATTACATACATTTCATAATTTTAGTGTTCTTCAGTATGTCTAACTCATTCACCCCTGAAGACATATTTGAACTCTTCCAATACAAATGTTAGAATAGTTCATTAGGAAGTTTTAGGGGATAATGAGTTCAATTAGAGCAGACCTTGACATTATGAGGATATATAGACTAGTCAACTTCAGGATAAGAAGTTGTGTTTATACAGACTTTTCCATCTATTTATTTTGGAGGTGAGATGTCATTTTAGAATTTTATTTTGATTTTAGTTGTAAGTACTAAAGGTATGTTACAACCTTGCTTTAGATGTACAAGTTTTTCAAGCAAAAATTAAATATAGCAGTTTTTAATTCACAGTTGATTGAAGTAATTTTATATTAACATTGTGCTGATATTGATTACTTTGCACTCCTTGAATTTTTCTGTCTTTTCCAATTACATGTACTGTGTTGCTTTCACATCACAAGAAATTATGAAATGTCATAAAAATACTTTTTAGGTATCCTCTTACTTATTAGCGTACTGTTTAAGGAAAACATATATTACAGATCTTGGAGACAAAGGGAAACCAATTTTTTTTCATTCCGAGTTTGATTTGCATGGGATAATTCCTTGCCATTCATTAATTATGATTAGTTGTATTTCTTAATAAACATTCTTTTCCTGTTCATTTGATAAAATATGATTGCCACCGTTGATTCTTACAATGTTTTAATTGTCAAGAATTGTACAGCGAATAATAATAAGTATACTTTGAAACAAGGTGGGTTTTTTTCTGAATGAGTCTCCAGGTGTTGTTTTTTTTGTGAGTCTCCAGTCATTCGTAACTTGGGTGTGGGACTTTGTCATAGCTTTGTGTTAATGTTAGATATTAATTTTTGAGACTTTGCTTGATTAAATTGTCCTGAATTCACTTTAAATGCTTATGGCCATGAATTTTCTACGATATATATATCCATCTGTTGATATTTGATGAGATCTACATGATGCCTGCTATACTAGACAAGATATCACTTTAATGACATTCAGAGACATATGTCTGTAGTGATTCGACTTTTAGTTTTTATTTAAAACTATTAACATATAATCACTTTGAATATAAACTTGTTAACTATCATTTATAATTTGTGAAATTAAATATAAAAAACTTTGCTACTAATATATGTATACTGTGTGTTGTTACACAGGGTTTGAAACACATCTTTAATTGGTTTTCTGAAAATACCACTAACAATTATGTTTTTTACTTCAGAATCTGTTTTGTTTATAAAAAGTTTTTAAATGAAATAATTGTATTTAAAGAGTTCCTTGTTCATTTGGAAAACAAAATCTTTTATTGATCAATTAATATAACTTTATATTTAAATGATATGTTAGATAAATGTATTTACATTATTTTTGAAGAGTTAAAGAAAACATGATATCAAAAGTTTTAAAAGAAAGAAAGTTCAAGTCTATGATTTTTTTTAATGTAAACTATTAGCAAAGTGAAAGTAACATGATATTTTTTTTTTAATGTAAACTATTTGCAAAGTGAAAGTAACATGATTTTTTTTTTTTAATGTAAACTATTTGCAAAGTGAAAGTAAATGAGTGTTATGAATTACTATGTGTATGATGTTGAATGCTAATGACTTTGTATGCTGTAGTACCAGGATCACTGCTGACAAGTTAATGGTTCTCTCTCCTCTGATTACAGTACTCATTTCTATATCTTCAGGCATCCCGAACCACACCGCCTCAATTCAGGTACTTTTTATTGTCTGAACAGTCAAGGTGTCTGCTTCATCTCGGTGCTTAACTGGCTGTCGTCTGTCATACAGCGCTGTCACATTGCATGGGTGCTCCAAGTATATCTCTACCTCTCAAATGTATATTATCAGCATTTATAAAGATAAATACTCACTTCATAACCCTAAAATGGGAAAATTTTCAGCGTTGTCAAATTGTTTTTTCAAATCTTTTAGAAATTTAGGTACAGAAGTTCAAATTTCAAACAGAGGGGTGATTTTGATGCATGGTGAATGTATTTTGAAAGCTGGAAAGTTTCGGAATTAAGTGAGACAAAACATGTTTTACTAGATATCAAAAGCTGATTATTACTTCTTGTCTTATGAAGGATGGGCCAGTAGTAATATGTTGGTAGCTATCAAGCATGCTTGTGTTTTGCCGTCACTGTTGGTTGTAGCAGACAGCTTGATGTTCAGTATGAATCACATCATACCTTATTACACATTACCGGTAAGGAGGTACGGGGCTGGAGGGGACATGGCATGGTCGTTGTGGCCTGTACGACACACCTGTATATTTACCTGTGGTGTGGTAACTACCTGTGATCATGGTTGAGGAGGTGTTACTTTGTATGACCTTCCCCTTCACATTATATAGACCTGTTTCGCTTCATGCAGATTTTTCATTTCCCCTTTTGATTTTGATTTTGTCATGAGATGCAGAGAATGTTTATCAGAGGTTCGGGTACTTGTGATTTTCCTTTATTTTTTAAATTCCTTTTTTTCTTGTCTTTTACTGCATACAAGTTTTGGCACTTTTTATTTATTGATTGTGGACTTTCTTTTTGACATTTTATGTATTATATTTGAACAACGAAATGAAAGCTAATCTGTTTCTCCTTTTGAAAGAGACGTACCTTCCATTTATGTCATATGAAAAATACATTGGACACAAATTTGGATTTTTTTTTTCATTTGTTAAATTTCCTGTTCCAACTGCATACAGACACTTAATTAATAACTAAAGATAGTTAATATGATGTTAATCTGATGGAATAATATAATCTCCAGTCTAATTAATGTTACTTCATTGTGGCCAACACCATTTTGAAGATTCTTTCTGTTCCCTGAGGATCTGAGAGTACACTAAGGCTGTTTAGCCAACCATAACTATTGCCTCAGTCGTTTTTCCAGCAGAGGTCAAAAGAATATGATGTTGCTTGTACATATGTTAAATCCAAATATACACTAAGAAGAGAACATGATGGGGTTTGCTAAGACACAACAGAATATCGTCAGTGAACATACTTAGTGTTCAAATATTCAAATTTGTAATGGCATTGTTGTATCTGTACCTACAGCAAAACACCACCTTACACTACCAAACTTACATGTATCTTATCATTGGCAGCTTTTAAACTTACATATAAGCTCCACAAATTAGTGTCAACTCTTCCTTCTTTTTAGAAATTTATTTCTGTTTATGTTGGATTATCTTGGAATCTCCCATAACATTTACATTAGATGCGATTTATCTTGCGCATGATGATCAGAACACATGAAATTGTATCAGGTTGTTTATATTCTCAATGAGATTGCCCTGTTCTGGCTATAAGATCAATCCCTTGCCTGGTGTTGGTCCTGCGTTTTACAATTTCCTGCCATGTTGACACTCAGACTTCAGATCATTTACAGCTGTTGTACAGGTATTCTGTCTTTTTGTATTGCAGAGTTATCTGCTCTTGCAAGCAGGTATTGATTGTTACGTCATTAGTTTGTGTGAGAGCAATCTAATTAAAATTATATCTTCACATCGCTCCCGTTTACTGATATGTCGCGTTGAAGATCTAACAACATCCCATAGAGGGTCACGTCAGAGGTCAACATGAATGCATTATCGCATTTATAACA